ACCACTACGAAATAAGACAATACGTCCACACACCATGTGAAGCAACAGCTCAGACCAGCCGAAGAAATAGGAATATAACTCATGAGAGTTTTTTCTGATGAGCCTTGGGTCATGGTGCGCTACAGTGGCTGGGGTAGGAGTGTCTCCACCTGCTACCTGTACACTGAGCAGACAGAGACACCGGTCAGAGAAGTCCTTCCTCTCCATTCCTTACAGCTTCTCACCAACTGTTTCTTACCTCAGACTCCCAAGTGAGGCCAAGAGAAGCCACGTCACCCTGACTCACCTGTGATGGTGATCTTTGCTGACCATTTTGAGGTGCCATCAAGCACACTCTGCTTCACCGTCTTCATCTGCTGAGAGTGTGTCAATTTGCTCTCACAGAACACATCTCTGATCAAGTCAAAGATCTCTGGTTTGTTCCGCTCCCGGATTTTCATGCGATCCTTCATTGCCATGATGAAATTCTGGGTCCTGTCTTCAGCTCCATGCTTCGAGCTCTTCTCCGCTGCTCCTGTGCACCAGAAAGCACACAACGCTCATCAGAAACAGACAAACACAAAGTCAGGTTTCAGCAAATCTGGACAGCAGGATGAAAGCCATGAGTTACCTTCTGCATGATGGCTCTTGCTATTGACTTTTGCAGTCAGAAACAAACCCCTCACCTCCATTTCAATGCACACACAAGAGAATCTGGACCACTCAGAGCTGGGAGGGTATAATGAATGGGAGTGCCCAGATGCCTCTACAACCTGGGTTAACCAGGTTGCTCTCCTGACAACAGACCTGAGTTTAATACCCTTGAAACTGAGGAAAACCCAGAAATGAGGCTCCTACTTTAACAGTGGACATCAGCATCCCTCCTCTCATCACCATGCTTTGAATAAATAAATCCCTGCTTGGACAAGTGCTAAGAAAAGGACACAGGACCTCCATTACAAATAGTATCTATGAGCTTGCCTCAATGCTGCACCTCAGCACCATGGAAGAGCAGAAGTTCAGATGGGCTGACATGGTCAGCATTTCCTACCGATGTGTGTCATACGACTCTCCACTCAGCACACGGTCACTGAACAATCTACATTGCATTCTTCTGCCTGGAAATGCCCTGCTTGGATCAGGCATCAAGGTGGAGGCATTCAAAATGCCTCTCTGGATCCCACTCTATTTTATCAGTTTGTAAGGGGACAACTGAACTCTTAGAATTATGCAGACACCGTAACTACACCAAATACCTGTAAGGCAGCAAATTCAATAGTTAAAAAATTAGGCCATCATTAGCACAGGCACGAGTAGAGTATTTAGCAGCTGGAAACACAAGAGTCAGGCATAGGGTCTGTACGTCTGTACTACATAGGTATTTGTATCTGGAAAAAGCAAGGCCTGTAGTCACTTGCATAGCTCTTACAGAAGGCAGAAGTTCATGTAATTATGAGATAAGAATGCTCCCACTACCAACTACTCCCTACTCAATTTTGACAGTCATGTTTGCTGTCAAAATTCAGCCACTGACTATTGTGCCAGATGTGAGGCGTGTGTTAATGAAAGCATTGACATAAGCTAACAGGGAAGACAAACCAGGGTGAGAAATGAAAAGCAGGAACCCAAGATTGCAGCGCCTCTCTACATGCAGTCTGCAGTACTTTCAAATTACAATATTAACTCAGATTAAGTTAAACCAGTACAAAAGTCCTATGAACACATTCAATCATAATAGTTCCATTTAGTTTAGTACGTTTTTATTTGGTTTTATTTCTCTGGGATAGTTTAATTAAAGTAAGCTTTGTCCTAGAAAAGTGACCTTCATCCAGGTATTCAGCAAATATTGAAACACCTTAAATATATGTATTAAAGCAGGTGCAAGAGCGTGTAAAAGGAGCCATCCATCACAAAGACACATAAAACTGTTTTCTTCTGAAGAAGTGGGCAAATATGATATCTGGAGCACCTTTTAATACAGGGTGTTACAGTTTTGCATATGAAACAGTTTCAGCAGGTAGTGACCAAATATGAGTAAAGTTCTGTGAATACACACACATAAAGGACCCCCAGCAGTACAATGTAGCAGGCAGCCTTGTTAGCAGCCTCAACAGGGTGCCCAGTGACTAATGCTGCCTGAAGACATCCATTTCTAGGGCCTTCAATCTAACACCTTTCACCGTTACTAAATCCACTTCAATAAAGAAACAAAACTCAATTATAACTTCCACCTTCCAAACTAGAAAGAATAAAAACACAGTTTGGAACAGACTGTGACCGCTGAAGTTTCAGAAGTTCATTAAGGACACTGCATACCAAGGGATGCTATTAAAGACATGGGTATAAAACAAGCCATAGCTTCGCATTACCTGATAATTATTTTTTCATTTTATTTGCTAGAGGCCTGATGTTCAGTATTTCATTTAGTACAATAAAATGTATCTGCCCCAGAGTTTCCTATTGTTGGCTTAAGATGAAATGAAATCAAAATACTGGAATTAATTACGCAGTCCCTGCTGTCTCTACTCACTGGTGATGAAGAACTAGCACCACCCAAAGTGATGCCTTGTATCAGGTAATCATCCTGCTGCAGACTCAACATTTATTAAAGGAATATGAAACCGAAATGATACCAGGGGCTATACTTTGAACTTCAGATAAGAAGTGCTATTCAGCTTTAACAGAACTAGGTCTTCTGGGGATGAAGGTGGAGTCTATGCAGTATATGCAGAGCTACAGAAAATAACTGAGAAATCAGGAAAGGCCAAACCAAGCAATTTGCCTATCCTAGCTGGAATTCTGAAATCTGTAGTGATCTAAAGAAACCAACCCTGCCATGACCTTTTTGACTTCAAAGAAATCAAGGACCAAATTCAAACATTAAAGAGTTCATGTTGTGTGCGAGCAGAGTACAGTATTTCAGAACCATTTTCTAAATAAATTACAGGCCCTGGTTATCATGGGAGATTTTAACTTCCCTGATGTTTG